TTATAAGCACTGATTTAGGGTGCAGCCCTTGAATCCTGGGCCAACAGGAAACCACGGGAGCATGCGGTGCCCCTGATAGGAGGTTAAAGCGAGAATTTATCCAGTTATTTTTTATTCTAATGCTGTGTCGGGTTATGTTCATTACTGTCGCTGTTAGAAAAACTCTAATGATGTTCCACCTGGCTGCAAAGACACAAAACAACGCTGTACCTGTGAGACACGGCCCTGATTGAGATGTGAATAAAATCGAGGAGAAGAAGATGAGAGGGAGCAGATGGGGTCTGCAGGCAATTAATGCTGCATGTTGTGTTGTTATTCTTCCACTTTGTTCCTGTCCCTCACCCCATCCTTAGTGACAGCTATCCTCTTTATATGTCTACAGAATTTCTCCTTCCTGTCAGTTCTACCCATCCCCACTGTTTTTTTTTTAACTTCTTCTCATCTCCATTGCAGTCTTCCCTCCTCCCATCTTTAGCTTCCCTCCTTCCTCACACTCACGAGGCGCACAGTCTCTGTCTCCTCTCTCCCGCGCTCTACCACCACCACCACCCCCAGCCTTAATTGGGAGTCAGGGAGAGCAGTGGAAATCGCATTAACGCGGGCCCTGCCTGGGTGTGCCATCCATCTTCTTTTTTATTACGCCGCGCCGGGGCTGCTTGGGCGCTGCCGTTCGATTTGTCACCGGCCTCGTTCGCTGATAACAGGCATTTGTCATCGCCTTGCCTCCCTGTTAATGTTATCATCTCCTCCCTGACAGCCGCCCTCCGCCGGGGAGCGCCGGCGACAAAGCACATCCGTCAAGCGAATATTTCCACGGCTAAGGGGACCGCACACTGCAATAAGCCACATTAAAGCACTTATGAAGGGTGCAGGCCGAGTGTGTACGTGTGTGCGCTTGTGTGCGAGTCTACGTACCGGTGCCATAGTGCGCAGTACATTGTGCGCTGCGTGCGCATACACATCTGCACACACACGTGCGCAGGAGCGTGCGCTCTTGTCAGTGCCGTAAAAAAGCGAGGTGGGGGCCGACAGGGAGAGGAAGAGGTAATTTGTTGCAATTAATTACGCAGTGAGCGTGGCTTTGTTGTGTAGGAGAGCATTTTATCTGTTGGAATGCTTTCTTCGCCAGGCTGTGATGCTATTTGTTTGATTTATAGCTTCTGCCAGCCCGAGGCGGAGCGAGCCTGCGTGTAAGTGTGTGTTTTCACATGTGCACAATGCTTTGGCATTATCCACAGAAATATACTGTAGTCTCGGTGACAAGGAGCCCTTTGTTTGAAAGTGACATTACATATGAACAGCCATGCTGCCCCTACTTGTGCCTCTCTGCAAGACCGAAACGCTTCTGTCCATTCAGCAGCAAATCAACAACGCCAAAGCCTGACCTTCCATCACAGTTTGCCTCACTTTTCCTTCCGCTTCTGTGAGTAAAGAAGACGTGTTTTAAAGTGCTGTGAGTATTCTACCAATCCTACAGTGATATGATGATGTTTCCAACATTGGCACGGTCCACCCCTCTTCTCTCATCTGTGATATCAAAACAGGCATTTGACATTGTGTATCCATTCTGCCTCAGCTGGGGGTTGCAGGGCCTGACAGATGGATCAGCCAGCCTCAAGGCAGAGGGAAGAGATGAGCGAAAGAAAAGCAGTGCTCCCCATCTCTCAACATACTGTATGATTCCCAAATATGCCATAGCATGTCATATGGTATGGCAAATGTTCGACCCTCGCAGAGAAAAATAGTCAGTGATGGCACTAACACACTGAGAGGTACATCTGAGCAACATTTTACCAAAGCTTCTTCACGCTATGATCACACAGTTTGAGATGAACGACTAAAGTAGACGGTCATAACTTAGTAACACTTTAGTAACATTTTAACTGACACACTTTGCGCAGAATGACGGAACCAGAGGTAGATAATAAAATACTTTGTTTGATTTACAATGTCATAACAACATTTTGACTAATACATGCTGCCTCTGTGTCATTAGCCAGAGATCACTTTTTATTTTAATAACTAAATCTGAGGTTGACTCCAAAAGAGAGTCAGTCACCACAGACACCTGTGTTAGCACATGCAGTATTAGAGTAAAACGAACAAAATAAAATATTTGTTCTTGCTTATTAATTTCCCCATTGAGAAAAAACAGCAATAGCTGGTAGCTGTCTGCAGATCTAATTCGAATCATCAAACTGGACCTCTTTGTTATGTTTGTGGTTTCAGACCTCTTAGAGCAGCGGTCCCCAACCCCCGGGCCTTGGACTGGTACCGGTCCGTGAGTCGTTTGGTACCGGGCCGTGAGAGTTGAGGCTCAGGTTTGAAATGAATGGTTTTCAGGGTTTTTATCGGTTTTCAGCGTTATTTTGTTATCGTTTTTATCGTTATCTCGGTTTTCCTGGGTCTTTTCACGTGTGTTATGAATAAATCTTCTTTTTTTCGGTACCGGTACTAGTTTTATTTTGTTGTATTTATCCGCGACACCTTAAAGGCCAGTCCATGAAAATATTGTCAGGCATAAACCGGTCCGTGGCGCAAAAAAGGTTGGAGACCGCTGTCTTAGAGCTCTTGCTTTGCAGGTAATTTTACTCTAGTCTGTACTCCAAATTTTATTGAGTAAAATTATAGTATTTAACAATTATCCTTAATTAACAACTATCTGTAATTTACCCATAGAGCCTGTGAATGCACGTTGCTAACTAAACTTGCTAGCATTACCAAAACATTCATTTTAATAACTACATACCATCTGCAGGAGAAACACCAGCCAAATTTGACAGCTATTAACATTTTTCTTAATAGCTTATATCTGTGAAACACTTGTAAAGTAAGTAAGGTCTGTTTATTTGCCCTTCAGTTATAAAAATCTTCCTTAGTGCATGCAGTACTGTAGTATGTTTTTTTCTGAGCACTTGTTGCCCATATTGAGCAGTTAGATGCCTGCTGTGTACGACAGTCTCCCTGTTGATAAAAAATGATGTTATTTGATGAAATTAGATCTGCAACTAAATAGACCTTGTGGTGACAATGTTTTCTAAACTGCTATTACAAACCCAAGAATGAACTGTGAACCTTACTGTTGAATGATTTATTTGCTAATAAAGCTCCTTTCAGCTGCTACTTTATTAACACGTGGTCGCCAAAGTGGATAGCTATGCATTTTTTTGATTTGGCAGATTGTTGCACCGGAGGCCTCTCCTGATGCAGTCTCAAAGGGATTTTTGTCTTCTCACGGGATAAAACTAGGGTGTCTTTACTTGTCAGGCAGATCTGTAAACCACTAAATTCTAGAGATAATGAATGATTTATTAACCAATAATAAGAATCAGAATAATCCTGCCTTTATTAAAGCTTTAACTTACTGGGGCAGCATTTGCCTGCCTTTCAGGCCAAAGTTTGAATTCTGTTGTTGCCCTTTGGTGTGAATAGCTCCTTTTGCAACGTTTCTCCATTATGTCACTGTTGGGAATGATTTTGGTTGCAGTTTGAAAATCTCCGTTTTATTTGTGTATTATTTTCATAATTCATTTTTGTTCGTGCTGTAATTGCAAGTGTTGTTGTGTTAGCTTTATGGTAGTTTTGGTGAGACGCAATGATGCCACACAATATTTCTCTTGATTTTAATTTTCTAAGTGTGGGAGTCCTTTTCCAGCATCACATCAGCTCAATGAATGTGAAGCAAATATAGCCCCCAAAAGAAGTCAAAGTATTGTGCTAACTCAGAGGTGCTGCTTAGGGCTTGATGTTAAAGTAGAAATGCACTTCTGAGTTTATGAATGGAATTTTTTCATATTAATGTTTTGTATGTTTGCTTGTTATTATAGGCAAAACACAAAGAACAAACAGACAAAAGAAATTCAGGGTCAGATGTATTTTTGTGTCTTGTAAATGATAAAGCATTAAAAATTGACTGAGCAATCTTGTGCAGCTACTATACAAGATTCTTCAGCGATATACTAACTAATTACTCTATAGAACGTTCGCATGCATGTGTATTTGGAAGAGGATGTGTTTGTGCTGTGATCTCTGAACTTGACAAGGCCAAGGTCTGATAACTTCTTGTTAGTGATCATGATCGACTACAGCTGGGAGTTTCTCTTCGCCAGTATAAAAAGGATTTGTTTGACAGCATTCACTGGATTGACCGATATTCAGAACAAAGTCAAAGGAATTTGGGGATGATCCAAAACTGACACCTTCAAGCTCGACTAAAATATGTAGCTGCCTACACGGACAAGCCAAATGCCTTCTGGAGAAAAGTTTTATGGCTAGATTAGACAAAGACTGAGCAATTTGGCCAAAAGAGGTGTGCTTGGAGGAGAAAAGGTGAGGCTTTCAAAGTCTAAGAACACTTCACCAACTGTAAGTGTGGTGGTGGTGGTAGCATCATGCTCAGAAGCTGTTTTGCTGTCAGTAGTACTGGTACCTTGCACAAAGTGGACGGGATAATGAAGAACTACTGTCAAATTCTTCAGTTAAAACTTTGATACAGTTGGATGTTTCAACAGGACAATGATCCCAAACGCACATTAAAACTGGTTTTGGAACGGATACAGGACGCTAACATTAAGCTTCTGGAATGGCCTTCCCAAAGCCCCCACCTCCTCCATAGACTATGGTTAAAAGCCATTACCACATCAAGAAACCAGTTTAAATTAAATCTACCAGTTCTGTCAAGAAGAAAGATCAAATGTCCAGTACGAGTTATGAAAGAAGCATAATTCTGGCTACAAAAGGCATCTACAAAAGGTCCAACCCACTAAAGGACGTTTAATCAAATATTAGTGGGGATATATGTATATTTTTGAGTCTGTATGCATACTTTTAATTTTGAGTGGATTTGAGAAAATACAACATGAATTCACAACTATGTCCCCAGTTCATATTTTCTAAAAGCATAAAAAATGTTTGCCATACAATCATTCCAACCTTAAAAAAAGAACAATTCAAAGGAGTCATTAAAAGTCCAAAATTACCATGACATTCATGCCCATGATGAGTATGTAAACTTCTGACCATAACTGTATGCAGTGACAATTTGCACGAAGCAGCTGATCTGACAGTTCCTTGTCTGTATCACTGACAGTGTTGGTTGAGCTCCTATTCAACTGGCTGAATTCCTATTTTTTGTTATGGAAGTCGAGGGTTCCATAGCCGTTCATTAGAGCCATTTTTAGTTCACTATTTGGATACAGCTCTTCTTCACAGATCTCATTCTTGGTGGCAAACATCTGGCTGATCTCCAAGAAAGTTTTGTTCTTGGTCTCTGGAATGATGAAGAAGGTATAGACAGCCACTCCCAAGCAGACCACACAGAAGATCAGGTAACAGAAAGGACCTGTAGCAATCTGGGGTGGAAGGACACAAAAAATACAAATGCACAGTTAAAGACACAAAACATGAAAGGTAGATTATTGGTTTTGTTGGCTTAAAGGTTATCGTTAGCATTAATAGCATTAGCATTAACATAGCAAATTTTTAAGGCAAGTACTTCCCTTTTATTTTTTAAAGCTGTAAATGATCTACTAGGTTTCCAAACTAGCCAGGGGCTCTTTTTTTTGCCCTTACTGCCATTATTTTTGCTGGAAAAGACAGTAAGATCAGTAGCAAATCGGTGATGTTTTGCAGCAGGGGAAATGTTTTGGTATAAACTCTAAGGTAGGCTATAAAACAGAAAAAACACAGGACAGGGTGTTTAGCCTAGCTTATCCCAGAGACTAGAGGAAGACGGTACCTGCTAGCCTGAAGACCTAAAACACTTTCTGAGAGCAATGAAGTTATTTTGCTTCATGTGGAATAAAAACAGAAAGATTAAGGAACATGCAATCTCATATTTTAAGATCTATGGCCAGACTAATTACTGACTGCCTCGGTCACTGTCAACTTAACAATTAATTGTCCTCTTTACTTTGTAGCTGTTCACTTGGAACGAAGCCGAGGACAATGACAGCAAGGTCGGGACTTTTAATTGGCAATTTTATTGGTATTTGTGGAGTCACTTCTGTTCAGACAAAAGTGCACAGCCAGTCGTATACACACAGTAGATGTGCATCAAATGTCAAGACTACACATGTACAAAAAAAAAAAAAATAGAAATAAAGCCTTTTTACATGTTTTTTCACTATAAACTGGACAGTATATTTAGATGGCTTTTGTGTACATTTGAATTTAGCTCTGTGGGATACAAGTCAGTGCTAACCTCTAAGAAGGGAAAGACAAAACCAATGGTGAAGTTGGACATCCAGTTGAGACAACCAGCTACGGTGTACGCAGCCGGTCGATGAGACTGCTTAAACAGCTCCGCAGTGATCAGGAAAGGCACACCCGCTGTAAAGAATACACAAAAACATATTTGTTTTATTCCAAAAATATTCCCAACAACACCACATGAAGAGAGTTTAATCTAACTAAGCATCCTGTTATAACACAAATCACATTTAATTACTTAGTATGGCTATATGAATCTATTGGGTGATGTGAAATTAACATCGGCATCTTAGTTCATCAATTACTTTATCAATACTCCCACTCAGGACTCTTCCTTGGCAGTTACTCAAAATTAACAGAAGATGATTAATGATAAACATTTCACAAGCCCAAGTGCTATTATATTACACTCCTTTTTCTACATGTACTTCATTATGTGTTCATTATTACTCACTAATCATAGACTGACAAGAGAGGAAGGTGTTTGTCAAGACGGCAAAACTCCACTTCTGAACCACAAGACACAGAATAGCTTAGCTCATGCAATTCATTAGTTTAAGATGTGCCTTAACTTTAAACATGTGATTCTTCATTGTTAGAAGTGAAGGCTATGAAGGAGAAATATGCATTAGTATAAGCTCTAATGATTAGCTTTCCGAATAATGTCCTCATTATTCTGTGCATGATAACTGCAGAGAGAAAAGTTTAATATTGTCAAACCAATAACTACACCATAATTTGTCAACATCTGCGGTATATATGGGAGGGCATCAATGTGCAAGCAAGGTTTCATTTGAAGGAAACCATATTCATCACAGCTAGCTTATGAACAATGAGCCATTAGAAGTCTAATTGCAGCAAGAGAAATCCTTGTTTGCTGAGGTATAGATTTTGCCTGTTTGACGAATGACGTTATGTAAACCAGATTTGTTCTAATCCATCATCCTCGCAGGTTCGCTCGACGTGGCTCTCATCGTTGTAAACTATTGCCTCTTAATTCACTTCACTCATCTCATCCAGTGTACAAATGGCTGTGAGAATGGAAGCAGTGTGGCAGTTAGGATTTCCTAATTTACAAGACTAATGAAATACAATATCTCCTCACAGCCAGAGGAGGAGTGTGGAGGATGGGGTGCTGATGTTTTCAAGCTTTAATGCCTGCTATTGTGCAAGTTTCCAGCAGGGTGCAGTGTTTCCTCATACACAGGATTACTTCTAGCTAATGCAATCACATGTAGGTTTGAAAGTGTTGGAAAGTTTTCATGCCAGATACAGATACAAGATTGTTTTTTTGGTTTTTTTTTTACCTGGACCTATGCAGAAGCCAGCAATAATCCCAATAACACAGCCCACACTGATGTAGCGCATGTAGGACAACTGCGGCTGTGATTGGTCAAACACAAGTCATGAGTTGCAGATAGTCACACACAGTTTTTTTTTAATATTATTCATTTATATGATGACTTCAGATGGAAAAATCTCTAAGCCTATCTAACATTTTATTTTGTTTTAATTATTTCGTCAGTGTCCTATGTTCAGCTTCAGTGAGTTTACTTTAACAGCAGTGAAATGGTCACTGAATGAAATGCTTTTTAACAAATTCGATAGTCTTTTGCAGCGAAACCTGCTTTGCATTTGTGCATCATACTTTGTGCAGTCCACCTCTTTGGATGAGACATAGGAAATAGTTGCTAAACATGCAACTGAAAACAATCTTACAGATAAGTGTGTTTTGACTGGTGTTCCTGTGGACATGGTAGCTTTTAGTGGCATTTAGAGGTTTCTGCTAGCAAACCATGTTTGGAAAGAGGCTTAGCATGGCTTTGAAGTGAAGCTTTCACCTGATATCATTTTCTCATTTTTCACAGAGGGTGTCACTTAGAGGCTTTTGCATCTGAAGACATACAATAATTTATGTAAATTATGTAAATTTGGTTATGTCCTAAGCTCCATGTAATGTACTATAATGTCATGCAAAATATTCCTAAACCAGCAGGATATCAGATGACATGTACCTGGAAGAGGACAGACACAGTGATTCCGGCACAGCACAGTCCCATAAAAAGGAAACCACCAATCATCAGTGGTCTTCTGCCCAGACGCTCAATAGTGAAACACTAAATAACGGACAAATAAGCAGGACTACATGTGACTAACCCATAAAAATAGATTTTCAAAAAGTTAGTTGCAATTATACAAATCTTTCGTTTGCCTATATATATATCTATATCTATATATCTATTTTCAATAGAGTATAACATGGCCCTGTGCACGCTACAGAATAAATGACCTTCATTAGGTTTCAGCTCACCTTCCCCTAATCAGATTTTATGCAAGCATGACCAAGACAACAGAAAACACAAACTGAAACAGTCAAGTTAAACAAAACAGACTGTGCATGACTACATGTCATAACCAAAATAACCAAAGTCATTATTTCTTTTAAGTATTTTAGGTAAGAAGTTACATGTTTATCAGAAGGGAAGGCATTTGTTTTTCCCAGTTTCTCTTTTTCTTGTGGATCAAGACTGAAGTTACCATCAGTCATACAAGGCACAGATTTATTGCAACCCCAAGTGCTTCATGGTTAATTAATCTGCTAATTCTATTTTCAGTTTAGCAGCCATTAAATCCATAACAAAACAAAAAATGCAATTTTTTATGTCAAGTTCACAATATACTTAATTCTGTTGTATATTTTTGCTTTAACACTGGTCAAACAGATCTCAGACCAGGAAAACAGCAGCACATTATCACATCTGTGTTCCAACGTTACAAGTCCAAAATATAAAAAATCTTTGTATAATAGAAATACATTCATTTCATCTTAATGTGTGTGTGTCTACTCACCCCCAGCATCCCTGAGATGACCTCAATGGCCCCAGTTCCCACTGTTGTGTACTGAATATAAGGGTCTGCGATTCCTGCATTCCTAAAAATGTCATTTGTATAGAACCAGATCTGAAATTGACACAAGGTTTATTGATATGTTGAATCCTTTGGACTATTGATACAGCAAAAATCAAAGTTTGCCTTGTTTCCTTAAGGAGCCAAAAAGTCACTCTGCTTATCTGGTAATGCACACGATTCATCATAGTGATCATTATCACAAGGCCGACCATCACTCATGCATTTGAGATACAGCTTTTCATCAGTATGGACTCCTGACAAGTACTCCCCTTGAAATTAATTTGCGCATTCTCATTAATCACACTTTGCTGATACAACATCCATCATTGATGATGTGCGGACAAGATCGTGATCAGTGCAGTTAAATGCTGTCTTGTTGATTTAGTAACCATACATATAACATTTCATCACCATTGGAGGCTTGAAGTATGCAAACAGACGAGCAAAGCAGAAGGCCTGCACAAGCACAAACAATTCCAGAAACTTAAACAACTGGGATAAGATTTGATGAAGATGAATATAAGCTGCTAGGCTAAAACGCCTCCTTAATGAGCTAAAATCTCCTCTAATATAAGAATTGTGTTATATGAGTTGATTCATATATTTTGTTTTACGCACATGAGCACTAAAGTGCAAGCCAGTAACACTGCAGTGATGTCAGAGTGCTAGGCAAAGTAGCCATGGCTCATTTCACTCTGGAGCTTTTTTCAGCTTTTTCAGGCCAAACTGTTTGTTTAACGGAAGTAGCCTCATCTAATCACAGGATTTCAAAAGTGTTCTTGGATTATTTAGCTCATCTAATCTGACATGCCTCAGTGTGTAAACCTAACTTAGATTTACACAATGAGGTATGTACAGTTAAAGTAGGAAAAGTTAAGTAGGAGAAAATCACAGTCTTAAAATGACTTAATCTCTGGGCTTACTCAAAGCTACAATGCCAACTATACTACTTCAGTATTACCAAAACAAGCATCTGTCTTGAGAAACTGTCCTTGAGAAGACAGATGCTGATAACATAATAGTTTAATGGCAACTTCTACTTTATACAACCTAGTTCAGGAAACCGTTCATTGAGCACATTTGTGTCAAATGTCCTAGCACCTTACACTTCCACATTACAAAAAGTGGATAAAACCTGGTTCACTTTTTAGTGGAGTATGTTGATCCTAAACAGATGCAGGTAGCCTCAGCACATGTCTCAACTTACTCTACCTTAAGAAAAAACAACCAAAACGCGTAATCCTCATTGTCTGTTTTATTACAGCGTCTTGTTTGGAACTGATTGCGCTCATGCTGAATTATCCACTACAACCAGTACAAAGACACTGGAAATCATTCATTACATACATCTGGAAAATATTTTGTTACCTGAAATTTAACTTTATGAATTTAGTTATGCATTTATTTGTCCCTTCTTTTCCTTCTTCACGATTTATCCATGATTTCACTTGTTTATGATTATGAATATGTAGTCGATGCTTTGTCGTATTCTCTTGCTTCGTGTAGAAGTGGAAGAACGAAAACAAAGCAAGAGCAGCAACAAAATAATAGCGGGGCTGCCACTTTATGATGTGAATGACAGTACAGCTACAGTAGTACTTGCAGAAGAAATAGCTTTTTCATCATTTTTCCTAGGTTGAGTGGCTCCCCAGCTGGCTGTAATAACTCTACAAAATCAGCACCACAAATACTGTAAAAGCACCATGTTGTAACATGTTGAATAATATCTGGTTGTGCACAAACTCAGTCTGTATGAATATGATTATAAGTATCCAATATTTTAAGAAAAAACATGCACATTTACTTTTCAAACTCTCTTGAATTGCTTAGTTTTACTTTTCGTGTCTCAGATTTGGAGACACTACTTCTTCTGGAGGTTTGAAGCCTTCCAGTGTTCCTGGCTGGAACAGCTGGGACTGAGAGACTCAGTAGGGTGCACCCCTGCTGCGAAATGGCACTAGCATATGAGCCTGCATGCCTGGAGCCTCCATCCATATGAAGCAATGAGTACAAAGATGTGTTTGACTTTGTGTTCGGATGGGTGGACCTTGTTATGTGAGGTAACGCTGAGGGAGAGCACCAGGAGATAATGAGGCATGGTCACATCGCCCCCTGCTTAGTCATTCAGTGGGTGTGAGACTGTGATGTATGGAAGGACGGGAGGAGCCCAGCTGGGAACTCTCGCACTATAAGATCTCCCTCTCATATAATAACTGCACAGTTGTTGCACATTCAAAATGTGACAATACACACACATATAAACAAAAGATGAAAAAAACAACACAATAGTTCTCCTACTCACGGCATCAATCCCAGACAGCTGCATGCCGATGTTGACCACTGCAACAGTGAGGACCTGCCAGCGGACACAGCTGTCCATGAGGAGGCTGCAGACAGAGAGGGTCTGCATGGAGGACAAAGAGCGTTGCTCCTCCTGCATCTCTTCAACCTCAGCCTGAATGTTTCCTTTAGTACGGAACCACTTTAGGGCTACAGAACGGAGTGAAACAGGAGTCTTTTTTTTAAAACCAGTTTTAATTCATCCTTCAAGTATCACAGTGAAAGGATTATGTAAAGTTTGAGAATCTGTTCTAGGCGTCTTGATCTTCCTTTGTAATAGGGGTTAGGGGTTAGGTTATTCAGAAAAGGAAAGCAAGAAATGCACTTTTTAACCTGCAATGGTGGCATGCACATCTCCTCTCTCTATTAGCAGATATCGTGGACTCTCTGGAAACCATGGCAACAGTATCAGCTGGACCATGGTAGGAACCGCCACAAGAGACAAAAGCAGAGGCCAGTGCTCTTCCTGTGTGGGGAAAAAACAACCCCAATAAAAACCAAAAATAATAATATCATCATCTAAAACTATTCATTCCATCTTTACCATCTTTGTCTTTATACCTATATTTAGCTATTCCATAAGTAAACATAGGGTGTCTTGAAGCTTTTTCTGGCTGAAAGTATATTGTTTGCAACGCTTTGTGCATCTGCTCAATTCTAGATCACAGATTCTCTGCATGCATGCATCAATTCAAAATGTTATTTTTATTACATATTAGAACTATGAAAGCCAGTCAAACATCACAGTATAAGAACCTTTCCCAGTATCTCCGAGAGCCCCAGGACCTGAGCGATGAAAACTCCAAGACAAATGTGAATGCTGGGAACAAGGCCCAGGAAGCCTCGCAAATTCTTAGGGGCGATCTCACCGAGGTACATCGGCACCACACTGAGAGAAATCCCTGTAGAAACGAAGAAAGTGCAATTAATACAGTCTGACTGTGCTGGTGCAAAAATGAACAAAACACCAAATATGAACTGAAAAGGCAATTTAAAGCATAAATGACTCAGCTGTTTATAGATTATAGGAAATGTATATACAGCTATTTTTCACCAACAACACAAAGTGCTGCTAATTACAGACAAATATGTGACAGTAATAATAACAGTAATAAATATTAAGAGGAGATTATTGACATTGGAATAAATTTTAGTCAACCAGGAACAGTAGGCATGTCTACCTGAATGTACTCCTGTGATGAAACGGCCAATGATGACCATCTCAGGAATTCTGCACCATCTGCTAAAGCCCATCAGAGCTCCGCCCATAAAAACAAGTGCGGTGGATCTCACCAGAGTCCCTTTCCTGTTTGGACAGTGATTCTCGTTGCTTAGCTCTCTAAGTTTGAGTCTGTCACAGGTTAATAGTAATTCATAAACATGCACTCAAAATTCATAAACATGGTCACACTGACCTTCCATATTTGGTAACTAGTCTGCCCACCAGCAGTGCTCCGGTCATTCCACCAATGGCAAAGATTGACACAGTAAGAGAGTACAAGACGGTAAGAAGATGCCCATCCGGAGTCAAGCCATGACTTTCTAATAATGTCTCATTGTAGAAGTCTTTGATGTACTGGTGGAAAACAAGGTAAATTCATTTTCTAAGCAAAACAACACCCCAAATAAATCAAACCCAGTGTAAAAAGATTGTGTGCAATCAAAAGATAATGTTACCTTTTTTAGATATCTTATTTATTTAGCCTTTTATTTATTATTCTAGCACAGCAGTTTTATAGGAGTCAGAGTTCAAAATATTGTTGTTGTTTTTTTCTTACACTGAGCTTCGTGCAGCCATGTGCTCTCTGAAACCAGCTCTCTGAAACCAGATTCTCTTCCTTTTAAAGCAACTTTCTTCTGACCGACTGCCCCTTGCAAACAGAAAGTTTGAAGAGGAGTGTGGAGCTTCTGTGCTCACATCTAAAGCCATGAAACGACTATAATAAATACATCCAATCTTACCGACATAAACGAGAGCCAAGAGTTGCAAAAACAACCTGAAATAGAGCAGTCGGAAGCCTGGATTTGTGAATAGTGCAAATACTAAGTTATTATCAATTATGCCGATCAAACTTTTTGAAACCTTGAACATGTTTAATGTGAGCATCCGTAACTGTAACACTACAGACATGACACAAAAAATGAAACATATAAATGATACGTCACACTATATCCCCAAAAGACCTGAAAAATGAAAATTTGATGTTGTAACTTCAATAATTTAATCAAGTCAAGTCAAATTCAAAGCTGAAAAGGACTCATCGACTGAATGCTTGATGAATCTGACGGTGACGCCTTTCACTCAATAAAGTGTCCAGTATGATCCATTGCATTAAAATTTTAAGAAAAATATGAATTAAATATATAAATTAATATGAATTCAAAAGAATACAGAAAAGGTGCAGGAGAGGACACAATTCAAAAATTCTCCCTGTACTATGTGCTATGTTATCGCACATAAAAAGGCCTCAGTGAAAGTCTACAGATCTCATAAAGAAGCATACGACAGTAACAACATAGTAAGTGTCCATAACCAACAGGAAGGGAAATTTATATTTGCTCCTTTGCTTTGTTTCTGTATTGATTTCTTATACAAAGTAATGAAAATTATTGAAACAACAGAAAGTGTCATATGATGTCAGAAAGGTTTCAACTGCTGACCTGCTCCTCCTTAAAAGAGCTGGATAGAATAGAATAGAACTCCTCCACATTACCTTGCTTACTAAAATATTACTTTCTGAATGTTGTCATATGTCTGGAGTGTTCAGGTGTGTGTTAACACAACGACAAAATCTTGGAAGTACAAACCCATTGACCCCAAAGCCAGATGATCCAATGCTCTGAGGAAGTGTTAAAACTTTTAATGTTAAAATTCATGACAGGGCAAAAAACTGAGAAGTAAGGCTTGTTTGGGAGGGTTACCAGGAAAAAGACTCTTCTCTCTTAAAAAAAAAACACACAAAAAAACCTCAATCCCTCCAACAGAAGAGTGATTGAAAAAAAGAGGGTAACAACAGATCACATTTTATTTGTATCAGTGTCAACAACAGCGTCAATAGATTATCAAATGATTGTCGTACCAATTACATTAAATCATAAACTGCTAAATGGTCTTGTCTTTCTTTCTACTCTGCTGGCTAATTACTGAAGCGCAAGTTTTCTTTAAATTTGATAGTAAACTATTAAAACTAAAATACATTTTACCTGAGATTTATTGAGTTTAAAGTCTGAAAAAAAGGATGTTATGTTGATACTGTGAGACTTGCGGGCTCTGCTTTGGATATCAGTCTGAAATAAGCACTTTAGCTTTCTGATTATGTAATCTAAGTTTTTATATTATTTATTTTCAGACAAGATTCGTCCGTATCATAATATCCATAGCACAAAAAATGAGCTATTTTGTCTTATTGCACAGACTGACTACTGTGCCACACTTTGTGAACATTATGACAGCACAAAAAGGACGCTAACGTTACTGAGAGCAGGTAAATGTTTGACCTCATCATTTGAGCAGAAAATTTTAGATCACTTGACACTAAGAAACTGACCCAAACAAAATGAACTGAACTGCTCAAGCTGTCCCTACTTCTGTGCAGAGCATTCAGGATTTGGGGAAATACCCAGTATTTTTCTGTTTTTCTCAAGAAAAAGATTGATTTTATTCTCACATCTCACTTCCATATCAGTCGGGAGTCGGCTTACGCTAGCTAAATTGCTAGCTTAGCCAAAGGACACAAGCAGAAGCAACTAAATTGGCTCCATGTCTTTTGAAATTAGCCGTGCCAGGAAATAGTTATTACATTAATGTGTGCGTTTTAGAGCATTAGAGAGATGACTTGTGACTTCATTCCATCCTCCCGTGACCAGTAGCTAAGCTAATCATCTCGTGAATCTATTTTTATAAAAATGAAACTCATGTCAAGCTTCTAAAGCTGGGCATACACTGTCTGATTTTTCAGTCGTGCGACCGTTTTGGGGATCGGCCCGAGTTTCGCCTTAATCGTGTGTCGTGCATCGTTTAGTATACATGAGGTAACAAGAAGCGATTAACACCTCACGACCAGCTCCCGATCATCAATCGTATGGTCGCAAGAAAATCAAACCTGTCTGAAATCCTTTCGGCCCTCGTGAGGGTGTCAACTCAGCCTCTCACACTGCGCATGCGCAAACAGAATTAGAAGTAGAAAGACGGAGCAGCACGGCAGTGATCTGGACACAAGCGATGGAGGCACAACTTGAAGAAATTTGGCAAGCTCATCCGAGCATTTCGATGTGGCCTCACAATATTATCACGACCGCACCAACCGTGAAAAGAGTTGGATGGACATTGCTGCTCAACTGCAGCCGCCTGGTCAATGTTTTTCATTAGCAATTTAGCAAAGTTGATGGTGGTGGTGTGTGTGTCAGTGTCTGTTAAAGACAGAGAGGGAGAGACAGATTTTGTGTTTAAGCTTATAAGCTTCATGTTATGGACGCACAGTGTGAGCACTCAAGTCGCATCAGAGCATCGGGCCGTATAGTGTGAGACCCTGCATCGTGACCCACGAACTTCTAACCCCTGCGAATCAATCGTAGAGTTTGAGCAGGAGCTGAATAATGCGACTGAAAAAAATCGCACAGTGTCTGCCCAGCTTAATGTAGACAGTGCATCTGCAAGCATTTCAACATGTCTAAGCCTCCCTCTAAACCAATTACAGTTTCATTGTGGATATTTAAAAACAATAGCTTTAAGAAAACACCCTGGCTGGCTGATTTCTGACCTGGAACTGATGCAGGGTTTTTATAAAATTTTTGTTACTTTAATCCACGACTATATAACATATTTATAAAGTTTCAACAACAGATACCAAGCTCTAGAAAAACAATGCAAATGAAAGTTGGAGATGAAAGGTTTAGCTGATCCTAAGTCCTGAGCTACGAACATGAGACAATACCCTGAGCTTGCTCACATGCTTCTGTGGGGCTGAACACATGACCGCACCGCGGCAAATTCAACATCCAAGGAACATAATGGATTAAGAGCTACAGCGTATCAATGACATGGTAAGGTAGCTACATAAGCCCACATGACCCCACATGACAATTTATTTGTTCAGTTGGAGTGTTATGTTCAAATGGGTTATTTAACCATTGAGAATCAAATTTCATACAGTGTTTAACCATAAAGGGAACATTTGAGTTCTCACGAAAAGCATGCACGCAAATGAAATCACAAAACCAGGAGTCTTATTATGTAGACGACGATGAAAATACCTTTGCAGGAGAGTTGACAACGGCCAAGTTATAGCCATAGAGCATAGAGCTGCCAAATGAGGCCAGAAAAGCCACTGCCAGCAGAGGCTTTGTAAGATGCTGTGGAAAACACAAAGCAACACATGAGGGGAAAACCAAGCTGCAAACAGAGTTTACTGTCTCAGGGATGTCTAACTCATTTGACATTGTGGGACACAAACAGTCCACTTTGATGTGAAGTGGACCAGGCCAGTGAAACTCCCCTTTCTTTCAGTGTAAAGCAGTTTAACTATTCATTCAATTCAATTCAATTTTATTTATACAGCACCAAATCACAACAACTTTGCCTCAAGGGCCTTTATATTGTAAGGTAAAGATCCTACAATAATACTAGAGAAACCTCCAACAAGTATTTGGTGACACTGGGAAGGAAAAACTCCTTTTTATACCTTTTATAACAGGAAGAAATCTCCAGCAGAACCAGTCTAAATCCCAACTGGTCAAGGTTGGGGGTTAGTGAGGGAAGCCATTTCAATTTCAACAGCTTGTCTGTTTTTGTACTTGATGAAGAAATGTTGTAGTGAATGAAAAATTGTAAGGAAGTGTTTATGCAAGGAATAAAGGTGTAAAATCACATTAATTACAATTAAAGGTCTGCCATTCTCTCTCTCTCCATATGGCCATTTTCATCTAAGCTGTAAAACCTATTTAAACACAATTAAAAGTCAAAAACTTACGGGCTTTGTCACATTCAGTGTCAGAGTGGAGTCTTTGCTTGACCGATTCTGGCCCCCTGACCTTATGTTTGACACCCCTGATCCAATAGATTTCACCATAACTAAACAAACTGGAAGCATAAACAATTACCCTAAATGAATATGTTAAAGCAGCTGACTAAATGTTACAGTTTAGTCAATGTGTATTGAAAAATCAGCTAAATGATGTTTAGTTTTAAAAAGTCACCATGATCAAAGGTATCTGACTTTATTTAGAATTTAAAGCTGTACAACAACAATCAGTCATAACAGATAAGACTCATAAGTCTGTTATGACTAAAGGTAGTCAACAGCTCCTCTGAGCCATTGTCACTCCTTTTAAATATAGTTCGCAGGAGACATTGCACCCCACTCAGCAACAATTTATTCTGATTAAATATCTCATGTGGAGCTGCTCACATGTCACACCACTTTAAAATGAGACACGAGTAACTTCTCATTTGCCGTTTAAAAACACACACAGGCTACTTTTGCTTTTAAAGTCTCCTTTAGTCTTTTTTAACCTGATTTGTGGTAAATTGAACGATGCTTGGAATGTCATATGACGTGGTGACTGGTGCTATTGTACGAGTTCAGTGTGTCATGATGAGTTTTCCAAGGAACCCAGTAAGCATCTTATATGAACCATGACCTTGAACCAACGTTGTACAATGAGATTAGGAGGCATTCGCGACATAATTCCAAAATCATGTGACTAATAAAAAGCGATCACTGGAAACGACCATACCACCCAGGAATTAGATCGAAATTTTTCAAAATGCTTACACTTACCGAGGTGAGTTTTTCATTGTTTCCCTGTAACAGTTCTTCCGCCATTTAAGTCATAAATGATTATTCCCCTTGTGTGAGTTTCTTCGTCATCTGCAAAACTTTTCAAAACTCTTTTCACTGCATCCCCATTTGTAGAGTTTGAGCCGTGATCGTGTACCGGAGAGGAGGCGTGTCGTGTTGATGGGCGGAATTTCCACAGTCGTTAAACCGCCTGCAAAGCAGGCCCATCCCACAACTTTTATCGTTTCCCTTTCCCCAGCAAAGATCACGAGTGTCATCCTACACCCCAGAGTGATTAGAGTAATTTACTTTTAAAAAAACAATTTTTATTTAATAATTTGTCAGTTAACATGATTACACAAAACCTACCTTAAAAACCTTAAATTTCGTGGAATTTGATGGAAGAAATTGATTTACAGTTTTAAGATTTTATTTTTCCTTATACACCTGGAGGTCTGTTGTATAAATCTAACCTTGACTTGATTTTAAAGTTGCACTGAACTTTGCATTTGTTCCTGTTTCAATTCGTTTATCTTGTAAGTTTCATCTCCCCAACACTCACATGAGTGCAGCAGAGCTCCTCCCTTTTCCAGCTAATTACAAGTGATTTTTAAAAATCCAGTCATTGAAGCCTAAAGCACTTGCTAGTCAAATGGTAGCTGCACGATTTTACAGAAATCTATAAGTGCAGCTTTTCACTTCTGGTTAAGTAAGATGCTTTCAAAGCTGACATTAGAAGTTGAACTATGTTATGTTTTATTGCTTTATGGTAACAATAAATGTTGCTTTCTGTAACCTCCTTTAATGGAAATAGTTTGAAAAGAATTTAAGATTAAGTTTGGATTTTTCTCTTACCTTTACTGATTAATTAAAGTACTTGGAGTAAGACTTGCATTTTTTGCTTCCCTTTTGGCTTTTAATTTGAAATGTTCTATAAAAATAATTATTCTACTCAGAAACGACAAGCACAAAACCTACATTTCCAGGTGTAGACATCATTTTTTTCATCTGCTCACAGTTTTGTCCTCTACACAAAATGCAAATAAACAATGTCAGTTAATGTTCACCAAAGTGATATGCTCGGCATCAGATCTTCACCTGACTGACATGGATGAAGACCTGTTTGGTTGCCTTTTAATCGCCTTTAGTCACAGTACCATCTGCTTTACATATGATTCTAGAAATGTCTATAACAGGGGTGTCCAACTCCAGGCCTCAAGGGCCGGTGTCCTGCAGGTTTTAGATGTGTCCTTGATCCAACGGAGCAGATTTAAATGGCTAAATTACCTCCTCAACATGTCTTGAATTTCTCCAGAGGCCTGGTAGTGAACTAATCATTTGATTCAGCTGTGTTGACGCAGCGTGAGATCTAAAACCTGCAGGACACTGGCCCTTGAGACCAGTAATCGGAGACCCCTGGTCTATGGTGATTTCAAGATGAGATAATGGAGTTCCTTGCAAAAATGCAAAAGCCTTGAGCTACCTCTCATTTTTAAAACACATTTTCTAGTTCTAATTTAGTAAAAACATACCTGTGTAGAAGGACACACAACGTTACTGCAACATTATTGAAGCAGTGTGGGATCATCTTGATAAAGAACAGAAAAAAGGGCAGCCAACATCCAAAGTGCAGCTTTGGATGTCCTTCAAGAAGTTGGAGAGCTACTCCTGGAGACTACTTAATGAAAGGACATTTTCAAGTTTGTTGTAAGCACAGAACAGTTTAATTGTGTTTAGAAACTAAAAGCTGAGAAGACAAGAAGAAATCAAACACAAAATATGTAAAACACAGCTAAATCACATGAAGTATATTATGCACTGTGAGAAGTTTAAATGAAATAATAATAATACTGGGATATGTGAGTTGAAGTGGAGAATTTAGTCAGCAATGGACAACACAAAGTGACACAAGATTTTATTTTATTTTTTTATGGGGAGGGGGTGATGGCGACTTCACCTCCTTTACACCCTTTTGCTACCTCCATCAGATTTCTCCCTGCTGATATTTCCTGGTATGATATAGTATATTCCCTACATAGATTCCTCCAGTACACAACCAATGACCCTTTAAACATATGCTCCTAACTTTAAACCAACGAGCCAAGTTGAGACCATCATGCAGGTCAAATGACTTGTGTCATATGACTTCTAGCGCTGTGAAATTTATGCGGCATCATGCTGTTTTTGTGTATAAAATCAATTAGGCTGGGAACAGGGACATAACTCACTGGGCTGACACCATAAAAGAAGAAAAGAACAAATGTGTAATGAAATGAAATATTATGAGGAAAAGGTGTGTGCTGACACTAAAAAACACTCGATAAGACTTACAAGCTTACTACGCAACACAAACTTGATATTTGGCATACATGTTCGCACATATACATATACATTTGTGTACACCAAATTAATAATGACTGTGAAGCATAATTGTAGCTTTTTTTGGTCTTTTTGTACAGTTTGACTTTTAATTATGCCATGTGTAAAACATTTGTGGGATTAGAACACAAACACAAGTGTCTGAGCTCTTGTCTTTTCTCATCCATCCATCCATCCTTTTCCACTAATTCAATCCAAGGTCACAGGGGGCTGGAACCTATTCCAGCTGAGAGAGGGGAGAGGCCATAGACACCCGGTACAGGTCACCAATCTGTAGCAGAGCTCCTCCCTTTTCCAGTCACGTTTCAAGTGTCACTTACCAGCTCTTGTTCGCCTCCAGTTCCACAAAATTAATAGATAATTAAATAAATTTGTAATACTTTTTTTCATCATGAGAACAGAAAAAACTATTGCAAAAACAATTGAGGGTCTATAAAGGCAAACATTTGATTTAATTCACAAAATAATTAGATTCGGTTTGATTTTTTGGACACTTATGAATAGTGCAAATAAGTTTAGAAAGTTTGTTGTAATCAGTCATGGCAAACCCTGCCATGTAAAAGGTAATTAGCTGACCTAATAGTTAATTAAAAATATTGATTAGTGTAGCTTTAAATGTTTGCTGGTGATCCTGGTCAGGTGACTGCAGCAAAGGAGCTACAGAGTAAGGAAAGTCACAGCTGCAGTGTTTTTATTTCTTTGTATCTAAGTTAACTTACAAGAGCCTCTGGCCTGTAGTAATTCATCAAAATTCCTAAATGCATCAAAACACCTATTATAGAGCAAC